GAACCATGTGACTTCTATCTTGGGTTCTCTTCTTATCGCTACAGTGAACTCTGCTGATGTTTTAGTAAAAACTCACAGATGCATGCACACAAATTGATGTGTATATTATCAGAGTATGGCTCTTTTCTGAAAACTGACAATAGTACTTTCTTCCCAAAAAGATCTGTTTTCTGAGTGTACTCAGTCTTGTCTTTAGGTTCTTCAGCTACGTAACAGAAAAAGAACGAGGGTTTGATTGTTTAATCTATTAGGCATGTAAGTGGATTTAGGCATCTAAGTGCAATTCTATTCCACCCTGTTCAAGTCCCTGAAAAACAGTTAATGTAAAAGGTTAGTGGGTCTTCATCCACCTTGCTGCTTGTGACTCAATTTTAAAGTGTGAGATAATGGTATCTAACAAAGTAGGTACAATAACTGATTTTCAGAAGTAGAACAGGGTGGGATAGAATCATATTTAGGTGCCCAACTCCATTTATATGCTGAATAGGTAGAATAGAATCTGGCCCAAAGAAAAAGAAACAGGGCCACTATGCAGTGGTGATGGAGAATGAAATTAAGGATAACCTAGGTATGGCCCAAAAGCTAAATGAACACAGCGTCTTAGTTTTCAGTATGGAGAATGTTAACCATGTCAGCAAACACAAGATGGACAACAGGAAGGAGAATATGGAAATGAAAAGTACCACAAGCAAAGTAGAAGCAAAACTGTGCTCAAGTCAGACAGGACTGGGGACTTCCCATCACAGAATATGGAAAAAAGTAAAAAGAGAAAGACTCATGCAAAACTGATCCATTACTGGGTATTTAATACAAGTCTGAAAAGTGGTGGATGGAACTATATGGTGGGAGAACAGCAAATGTGGTACCTATATTTAAAAAGTGAGGAACAAAAAGTCATCTGGGCAACCCCAGGACCACTGATTTGACTTCAATAATATACAAAGCTTTAGAACGGATTTTGAAGGAAAAGATTATTAGAGACATGAAAGAAAACAGAAAAAGGGATGAAAAAGAATATGGATTTACCAAAGATAAAGTGTGCTAGGCTAACCTCAGAGCTTTCTTTAAACAAGATAACGAATATTCTAGAAAGAGGAGAAGAGGTTAATGTTGTCTCTCTGGACTTCAGTAGAGCATTTCGTGTGGTGTCACCTAGTATTTCATGTGGAGCTGGGCTGAAGAAGTTATGGGCTTTAGTAGCAAAACTGGCTACCAGAGACAAAAATGGATGGTGTTGAAAAGGGAAGTTTCAGATTGGAGAGAGATAACTACTGAAGTTCTTCAAGAAACAGTTTTAGGAATGATTTTGTTTAATATTTTTTATTTATGACCTTAACACACTAATGAGCTTGCAGATGGAATCTGATGGCAACACAAAGATGGGAAGCATCATCAATAGTAAGGATATCTCCTATGGGAAGAGATGCATCCTTCAAGCCAAAAAAACCCCAACAAAAACCAAATTTAGTACTACCAACAAACACAAAATTACCCACTGAGGGACTAAACAACAAAACCTCCTGCTAATAAGCAAGAAACTTGTCTTTTGGACAAAGAAAAAAGTTCTAGATGTACTAACTGACAACAGGGGACTGAGCTGCCAATGTAATGCAAGTTTTAAAAAGGCAGATGTGCTTCCGTGATGCACCAATTAAGAGATGTCCCATAGGGATAGGGAACCACAAATGGCATCGTACAAGGCACTTCTGAGGCCATATCTGGAATCCTGTATACAAGTCCAGTCAGCTATGTTAAAACAGTAATACTAATAAATGATGATGGTAATACTAATAGAGAGCTCAAATTGGAACAAGGTACAAAGAAGGAAAATTATGATAAACAAGAGAATGGGTTGCCTCTTGTATGACGGTGACCAGAAGAGCTAGTCTCATTTAGCCTAGCAGGACAACAGAGAAAGGATATGATCATAAGAAAGTAGGTCCAAAAGAGTCCTTACAAGTTCATCTAGTCCAGCCTCCTGCTCAAGGCAGGTGCCTCCCTGAATAAACCATCCTAGCCAAGTGTCAGTCTAACCTGCTCTTGAAAATTTCCTGGGATAGCAATTCCACAATCTCTCTGGGTAGCCTGTTCCAATGATTGACCACCCTCCTATTGAGAAAGTTCCTCCTAATCTCCAACCTAAATTTTTCTACTGCAGTTTGAGGACATTGCTCCTCATCCTGTCCCCTATCACCATAGGGAAAGGGTCACCTTCACCCTCTCTATAATCACCATTCAGGTATTATCAAATCTCTCTCAATAGTCTCTTCTCCAAACTGCCATCTATGAATACATTAGGGTTACGGTAAGCACCATGAAAGGAGATACGCTATTTAAAGCTAAAGGACAAAACTGGCAGAACAAATAGAGATGAACTAACTATGAATTCAGTCTAATTAGGAGGAGATTTCTAGCCAAGATAACTGCCAGATTCTGAAACAGCCTCCCTATCAGAAAAGGAAGGGCAAGAAGCCAAACTAGTTTTAAGATAGAGCTGGATACATTTATGAAGGAGATTTGGCACCTGCAATAGCAAGGACCAGACCTGATGACCCAGGAAGTCCCTTTAGGTCCTACATTTCTCTCCCTTGATTATACAAGACAAAAATAGGTTCTCAATGTTCTTTGCTCCCATGAGCCCTGCCATACCAAGAGTTCAAAGGGAAGGGGCTGAACATTTCCCTATGCTGCATATTCAGACTTTAGTCTGTTCTGAGGTAGTAGCAGACAAGTCAGGTGGCTGAGGGTTTAGTCCAAAAGGCAAACTGTTTTCTACTGTCCTTTGCTTTAAGGGTTTCAAGTATGGGGCTCCACTGAGAACCCTGTCCCCCGCTTCTTCTGTCCTATACAGCATAAGAAGGGTATGGACAGAACATTTTTCTTTCAAAAAATACTTTGCAACTACTAGATTTCTCTCAGAAAATGCATGCTGAAAGATAGAGGTGTACCTCAGGTTTCTGAGAAGGAAGAAAGCACTCAGACTAGACAACGTGGCTACAGTTAGATGGAATGAAGGTTGGGCTGTGTTTGGTCTCAGTGGGAGAGGTTTCCTTTCTTGACTACATAATGCATCTGTGAAACTCCTGTGGCTCCCTATGTTCATCTGCAGATCATTTTGGGCACATCTGTATGCTTTGTTTGCTCATTTTCTTTGAATAATTGCCCATATTCTCAGCTTCTTGGACTTTAAGATTATTTTATTAAGAGCAGGACTCATTCTGGAAAACAACACATTGTTCAAATACATAGCAATGTTTGCTGTGCTGCAACAAGATGAGGAAATGTGCAAATCAACAAGTGGAATCACAGCATTGAGACTAAGAGTCCTGGCCTCTGGACCACTTCTCACAGATACAGTCATATGGACAAGAGGACTGCACTGTATGGGGGGGCAATTTTTATTTATTTATTTATTTTTTACTATAATGCAGATTCATAAACTAAAATAAAAACGTTTCTGAAACTTGTATACATTGATAGACACCATTTTTAAGTTTGGTTTTCTGCATCCCTAGTAGTTATTCAGTGCCAAAAATATTCCATTTGATCTTTAATTGCTTACTTCTTTTCCACTTGTCAAGGAGAAATTGTTTGCAGTGCATTAAAAAAAACCCCACAAACTTCTCCCACTGGGCAACTCTGTTTTTGTTGCTCCCCCAAGTCAGTTGTTCCTTAATGCAGACATCACTGTAGTTAGCAAGGGGGTATAAATGTGGATGTGAAATTAATAAAAAGGGATAACTGATGCTGAATATCAGGAACAACAATGCTTGATTACCATACAATCTAACAGTACAGTTCATTCTCTCTCTGGAAGTGGCAGAACACTTACTGCCTTTGGTAAGTTTTAAAACTACACTGCATACCAGAAAAGGTGTTGTTGGAAACAGACTTCATGAAACAGATGGGCCCTGAAGGCAGGGAATGCACAGTAACAAGTCTTTTTTTCTTGCTCTATTTGCAAGGATTCTCCAAAGACAAGCTGCACCCCAGACAAAAAAAATGATCCAACAGCACAGCCTATTGGCTTCCTATAACATTGCAATCAACATTAAATAAGCTTATTACAGACAAGGAGGCCTTACAATTCACTTCCATCCCTAGGGATTCATCACATGAGCATGATGAATGTTTTGGGCCAACAGAAGAGCCAAAGCCCCTTCTAGGGGACATAGAGGAGGTGGACGAGTAAGAAAATGTGGTGATGTTTAAAGTATCAAAAAAGAGCTGCACTGAAGGAAGCAGTCCTTTGACTCAGTGTCTCAGAGAGCTGCTGCTATCATGAGACATGTCTTCACACATTTTATCCTACTGTGAGCATCTCAGCCTCTATGCGGGGTGTACATTTGTCATTAGAAAATGTGAACACCCAGGGCAATCTGTGTGTGACCATTCAGGGGAATACCACTAGTGGTGGTGGAATCTAACCCCTAGCCTAGTGGGAATAAGAAGTGAGGCTGATCATATCTCCCCATATAGCTATGGGGCCAAAGCTTGTGCTCCTTACTGGGCCTTCAGCCTGGGTAAGGAAAACAAAATTGAATCATCCGCACTGAGGCCAGGGCCAGTCCAGCATAGCAGTGAACTCCCTGGATGGGGAACACAGCAGGAGCATATTAAATCCAGCTCACAGATTCTGACTAGTAGGGGGACCTGGACAACCTTCTCCAGGCTGTGTTCAGAGACCTGTAGGCACCAGTTATTATGCTGTGAATAGGAGCCTCACCTGTGGAGGAGACAAATGGAGCAGGCTGCCCACTGAGCATGCTAGGATTGGTCCCAGCTGTAGTATCCATGTTGAGCATGGCAGACTGGTCATGAGTGATGTTAGGCAGTGGAGGCATAGGCAGAAGAGATGATCTGGAGGTAGGTGGAAAGGACATAAAGGTAATGATGGAACTCAGGGCAGAAGATGACAATATCCACTCTTGGAACATCCCTCACCTTCTCTCTTCAGAAAATCCTTACTTCATTCTCATTCACCTTTACTTCCTCCTAGCCTTTTCTCCTGAATATTTACAGCTGGGTCAACAGAGAACAGCCCTTCACACAAACCCAGAGTGAATTCAGACTTCTGGAACCAAAGTAACCCACTTTTGCTTCCCAGCCAGTGAGCCCCTATTCGACTTTAATCCCCTCCCTAAATCCCTATTAGGTGGTGGGCAGAAAAAGGAGGAAAAGCAGGGCAGAGGTCTCTCCCTTGCTGATATGACGTAAGAGTTGTGGCTGGCATAAGAACAAAGGACAGGGGGCAAGGAAAGGTCCTATCCATAAGTACTTGACCATGAGAAATGGAGGGTGTCAGGAGATCTCTCACCCATAAGTGTCTGACCCTGTTGGAGCTGACAGAGTTGTTGCTAGTGCTGGGCATTTCTTGGTCTCTTTCACAGTCAGTTTCTCCATTTTCCTCCACTTTGCTCTGCGGTTCTGAAACCAGACCTGATGGAGAGAAAGGAAAATCCAGGGAGGACATCCTCTGTCCCTTCTCCCCAAGCCCTTTGGGACATGAACAGGAATTGTCTCCAGAATCAAATCATGAATCTGGTCCCAGCACTTCATCCCTCTGCCAGTAGCCAGATGGCTCTTCTCAGGAGATAGAGTGGGACAATTTCCAACAGCCAGTCCCCACATGAATGCCCTTCAGGAAAGGACCTGTCAAAAGGGAGGTCTACCCTAAAGCCCCACTGACCCTACAAGTATCCCCAATAGGAAGATAGAGAAGCTAAGAAAGAAGCCTGCTCTCACCTGCATCCTTTCTTCCAACAATGTTAAGTATCACCTTAAGGGACAGGAAGATGTCAACAGCAGACCCCCTTGACATCTCCTCTGGTTGTGACACTTTCCTAGCTTCCCGCTTCTTTCCTCATTGCTTAGCTGCATTCTCCAACCATTTTTTTATGAGCTTCCCCCTCCCACTACACACAGCTCTTCTCCTTTCCCCTCCCTCGTTTGGGTGCACTGCCTGTTATCCATGAGAGACTCACCATGATGCGCTGTGGTGTCACACCAATCACAGCAGCAATCTCCTTCCTCTTCTCGTTGTCAGGGTAATGGTCTTCCTGGAACATCTTCTCCAGCTCCTCTAGCTGCTCTGGAAAGGAGGTAGTGTGACATGAGAGAAAGCAGAGAGCAAGATATGGACAGAAAGAGAGGGGAATAAAAGAGAAACCCAACTTAAAATAGTTGATAAATTATATAAAAGGCAACTAAAATAGATTGTGCAGATTAAAATAAATAAAAGTCTCCTAAAGTGGAATGAAGTGCATTGCTAACAATACTTTATGCACAATGCAGGTAGCAACAATCCAGGTTACTTCACAGAGATGTTGCTGGGCATTTAGCAAATGAGAACTTACTATGCAAATAGCAGCAGCTAGCATAGTCCTCAGTCTCTTGGTCGCATCTCAATATCTCCCCAGAAATACCTGTGCAACAGCCAGCATAAAGGTCATTATCTGCCAGCTGTTTCCCCAGCACCTACCTGTACTGTAGAAGGTGCGTGTTTTCTTCCTGACAGGTGGCAGGACTTCTGGATTCTCAGGTGGCCCTTTTCTCTCCTTGACTGCATCCTGGGCACTTCCAGTTTCCTGGACTGCAGGTCCCTTGTGGAGCTCCTGAGATTCAGTGCTGGCTATAGCACATCTGGTTGATCTACGGGTGGCATTGCTGAGGCTCAGGTTTGGGTCCACATCTGGGAACTGCACATGGCTGTAGAGATTGCCTGATACAACTTTGGCTGCCTTCTTGGAGCTGCCAACAATTTTCTTTTTCTTGGTCACCTTTTCTATCTTGTCAGGGTAATACTTCTCTGCTTGTTTATGGCACCCTGGCTGGTTTGGGGGTTCCTGGGCAAACATATCTCCTGGGGCTGAAAGCACAGAGCCAGTGTCACCAAAGAAAGGGGGCAACTGCCCACACATGGTGGTAAAGTTAAGCTGACAGTCCAGGGCAAGTTGGGGCCTGGTGGGTGACTGAGCAACCTGCACCATGCAATAGCTTCCATTTCCTTCTTCCTTCTTTACAGGCTCAGCCTTCTCTCCTGTTTCAAGGCTGCTCTCAGACCCATCTTTTATGATCAGCATGTGGAACGCAGGCTGCGTGCTCTCTCCTCCATCACACTCACTGACAGAGTCTACAAGGTGCTCTTCCCCCTCTAGTTTTCCCTCTGTCTCCTTGACTGCTGTGAAGCAAATATACACAATAAGGGTGAAGTGACATGTTACAGTTATACCTAGGATGCTTGAGGACTACAAATTGCTCATTTTATCTCTGTGGAGCAGACTGAAGTTATTCTAACAGGAGCTAGGTAGCATGGCCCAGAGTTAACCCTTGCCTTCGGTGGTATAACTTTGAGATGCTCAGAGGCCATTAGCATGAGTTAATGAGCTTAACATGTGGATGCTCACATTTTAAGTGCCTGTTAATATGGTTTAAGTTGGGGTGGACAATTATTTCAGGCAGAGGGCTGCTTACTGAGTTTCAGCAAGCCATCGAGGGCTGCATGACAGGCAGCCAGGGGCAGATATATATTAATTTTCTAAATTTTTAGGGGCCCTGTGGGCCAGATAGAATGGCCCGGTGGGCCGTTTAAGTGTAATGACTAACTTCACCCCAATATAACCCCTGTTGCCTAATTCAGGTGGACCTGGGCAGCATGAGAAAGCAAGCCCTGTACAGCGAAGCTCATAAGAAGAGGAAAGATATTGCAGGGGGAAAGAAAATAATGAGAGCCATGAACTTTGAAGTAGTTCACAGAATCCTAAAAGAACATTGTGGCCAAAATACAAAAAGCGAGGATGCCACTGGGAAAGCTGTTGCAAAGAACAAGCAACTGCCTAGAGAGACATTTCAAACATCCAAGAGCAAAAAGAAAAATGCATGCTACCAAGGAAAGGACTGTTTAAACCAGTATGATTTAATGCTAGAAATGGGGATGAAACAGAAGAAAGTGTTTCATTAATGCATTAGAGAAAAAGAAGGTCCATTTAATAATAAATAAGAAGATGAGACAAAAATGATGACAAAGACATATTGAGACACTGAACGTAATTTTAGAAGGGGAGTTGAACAAGAAAAATAAAGATAGACAAGCTTTCTTACCTGGAAAAGGCAATTATCTGTTGCACAGCATCAATTTCTAACTAAGTAGGTTTTTATTTACAGAACACTTGAACCAAAGGGAGAATCCAGTGGAACTGAACAAGCTTTAGAGAACCAAAGGCAGGTTAGCTTTCTGTTAGTTTCCACAGCTGAAAGTGTCAGAACACTTAAATATAAAATATACGTGCAAGCTGGGAAATTAAAGAACTAGTCAGAGTGAAAGTGTTAAGGATATAGAAGTGCCTGACCAATGCTCAAGGTGAGCAACAGTATCCAAAAAGTATAAACTATGTAATGATGATTGTTCAACAGATGCATCAGAAAAAAAGATATCAAATCAAAAAATTAAATATGCAATTCTTATCATAATGAAACAGCAACTATGGGTGGGACATTATTATATACTGACTTTGTACAGCTGAAATAGCCTGCCAATTGTCTCAGTAGAGAAGATCAGGAGAGAACCCTATATCATGTACTTCTATTCTTGCGAAACAGTCACTTCATTTTACAAAAAGATTGAACATATTTACCAAAATCTACATCTTCAGATCTGTATACTTTTATCTGGCTAGGAAAGGGAAAAAAAACCCAACTCTGCTCCTTTTGGATTGCAGATGATTAGCTAAGATTTCAGATTTAGCTATCTAACAAGAAAATGTGACCTAAAACTCACTTCTTTGGAGTCTGTCTTCTCTGTCCTAAACACAAATAAATTTCATGACCAAAGTAGATCTGCTCCCTGCCTCAGACTGTTTCATTTTATTATTAAACATGTATGAATCTAACAATGTTATTAGATGGGAACAATACCATGGTCCCTTTGACTAGATGCCAGACTTGTAAGAGCCTAGTTCATTTTTCCACATGACAATTAAAGAGAAAAATGTATTATGTGGAATGGGGATATGGGTAAGAAGCTTGCAGCTGCATACAACTCATGTTACACAGCAGTAAGGGGTTATAAGAACCTAAGAAATTAAATGTCATTTACTGGGTCAGACAATAGGTCTGTCAAGCCTTGTATCCTGTCACACAGGTCCCCTCTAGAAACCAAGGAAGTTAGTAGTTTCTGTGTGGGCTCATGTCTACATCTGCACGTACATCAAATAGGCCCGTGTCATACAGCAGTAGAGGGTGGACACTGAGTGTGGGGGTGCACAGGGCATGTCCAGAATTTTCCATTCCCTGATCCTCTACCATTACAGCTTCCAGCTTTTGGAGGTTTAGCAAGTTGTGATGCAGAGGTTGCACCCCCTATCTACTGTATTCCATACCTACTTACAGACCTTTCCTCCAAGAACTGATCCAATCCTCTTTTGACCTGGGTTAAGCTATCAGCCCCCACAGCATCTTATGGCCACAAGTTAACTACTCAGTGTGAGAAAGAGCTTGTTAATTTTAAACCTACTACCCAATATTTTCATTGTATGTCTCCTAGTTCTAGTCCTATAAACAGTACTAGCAAATTAAAAAAAAAAAAAATCCCTCTTTACTATCTCTGCACTATTTAATATCTTGTATACCTCTCCCCTTAAGCATCTCTTTACTAAGCTGAAAAGTCATAGTCTAGCATCTCCTTATCCCCAAACATCTTGGTTGCCCCTTTTTTGTACCTTTTCTACTATTTCTATATTATTATGGTGTGGGAACCACCCTGCATATGGTATTCAAAGTGTGAATATGCTAATACGCACTTAGTAAAACATTGAATTTCATTTGCCATTTTGTTACCCGTTTGCTCAATTGAGAGATCCTACTTCTTCACAAAATGTTGTATCATCTGCAAACCTGGCCACCTCACTATTCACCCCCCCCCCCACCTTTTCCAGGTCATATAGATTAAGGGAATTGATTGTTCCCCTCTATTTGGCTCTGGTAAGGTCACATCTGGAGTCCTGTGTCCAGTTTTGGGCCCCCTACTACAGAAAGAATGTGGACAAATTGGAGAGCAGAGCAGAGAGAAATTAAAATGTTTAGAGGGCTGGGGCACATGACTTCTGAGGTGAGGCTGAGGGAACTAGGCTTATTTAGTCTGCAGAAGAAAAGACAGGGGATTCAATAGCTGCCTTCAACTACCTGAACGGTGTTTCCAAAAAGGATGGAGCTATTCTGTTCTCAGTGATGGCAGATGACAGAACAAGGAGCAACGGTCTCAAGTTGCAGCAAAGGAAGCTTAGTTTAGATATTAGGAAAAACTCTTACAAGGAGGGTAGTAAAGCACTGGAACGGGTTACCCAGGGAAGTTGTAGAATCTCCCACCTTGGAGGTTTTGAAGACCCAGCTAGACAAAGCCTTGGCTGGGATGATCTAGTTGGGGATAGTCCTGCTTTGAGCAGGGGGTTGGACTAGATGAACTCCTGAGGTCCCTTCCAACCCTAATTTTCTATGATTCCATCAATGCTCTGACACCTAGGAGAACCTCCTTTCCTGGAGTACCTTTAGGAGGGTCATCAGCAGCTCTTTCCCACAAACTTACAGAAAAGGGCCAAAAACATATACTCTGGGGACTACAGGTGTAAACAAGGAACACATGTTGACAATACCATTTGAGGAAAAAGCTGAACCTTTATGGTAGCCATGCAATACACTGCTCTTCTCCCCCAGTGCCTGCTGTTACTGGTGAAAGGAGTCAGGGAACAAGAAACAACAGATGCAGCAGAACAAAGCACTGGTTCATTTCTAGAGGAAGACTGAAAGACGTCCACTGAAAGATGTGTGGATGGCTTGGGCATGTTCAATCCACAAGGATTTCAAACAGGTGGTCTACCAAAGGGGCTTGAGCATGAAACATCGTTTCCTTCTCTTCAGCAAGCCCTTCCTGCCCCTTCCCAAACACCTGTTGCAAAGCAGGAGCAGGAACATGCTGGACATATTTGAGGCTGGTCTGAAGCACGGTATCAAAATGAAGCACAGTATCAAAAGAGGCTGGCTGCATGAGCTTCCTTGCACTCAGCCCACGGCCAGGATCGGGATCCTCCAGACCCAGCCAGGCTGGAGAAGAGGAGAGGGGGCTGCAAGGGCAGATGCAAGAGACACTTTTCTTTTAAAATTTTCCATACGACAAGCCAAATTAGTCAAAACAAAATCCAAATCCGAGTCAGTCCAGAACCCTAAGTGGCCCTACTACCGCCAAACATCCTCCACTCCCACCTGGGGCTTCAGGTGTTCCCAAATCCTACCTGCAGGTCCAAGTCCGGAGGCTTCAGGTTTGGATGCCCCCAAGTTTTGCTTGCTCTCAGCTATGAAGCCCCAGGAGCAAGCTGGGGAGGAGCCTCCCATTTCCATAAAGTGGGCATAAAGCCAAGGTTAACTATGCATCACCTAGGCAGGTACCATCCCATGCCTGCAGAGTGGTCTTCCCCGGTGCCACTAGGAACCCCCTGTGCTGATCATGGTGTCTCCCCTGCCCCGCAAGCATAGGACTACACTTCATGGGAGCCTTCAAGAGACACCCACGAGCCACACGGCATGTTGTTGTACCTTACAGTCCCAAGGTGATGGCAAGTCCTGGTGTCCAGGGGCCTGCCAGCCACCGCCTTCTGCATCCCCGGTGGGCCACCAGTGCCCGTAGCAATGCTGGGGCGGGGGCACGACAGGGAGCGGTGCCCACATCAACCCAGCTGTCCTGGGGCACCCTGGGCCTGCCCTGCTCCATGGGCAGCCCCTCACCGGCCGCAGCCAGGGCACC